TTTGAATATCCTGTGTGTGGGACGGAAGGATAAGAATATGATGAGATTTCAGAAGAGGTTTCACGGTTGCTTGAGCACGAGGAAAATGCCATTCAGTCGTATAAAGAGTCATTGGAAACAATAAATTTGGGTTCAAAAGAATAGCCATAAGAAGTCAAGATTGGAGCATAATTGCATCTTGATGTGAAGAGCAGGTTGATTAAGCTATTTAAAGAGTATGTAGACATCTTTTCTTGGTTTTACCATGATATGCCAGGTCTAGATACTGATATTGTGGAGCATCATTTGCCTATGAAGCCAGAGTGCCTGCCCGTCAAGCAGAAGTTGAGAAGAACTCACCCTGTTATGGAAGTAAAAATCAAAGAAGAAGTCTTTAAAGCAGATTAATGCTGGTTTTCTTGTGACATCAGTGTATCCTCAATGGATAGCCAACATTGTGCCCGTACCAAAAGAAAGAAGGAAAAGGTCGCATGTGCGTAGATTACAGAGATCTAAATAAAGCTAGTCCAAAAGATGAATTTCCATTGCCACATATTGATATGTTGGTTGATAGCACAGCAAAATTTATAGTGTTCTTGTTCATGGACAAATTTTCCGGATATAATAAAATAAGAACTGATTCTGAGGACACGGAAAAAAACAAAGTTTATCACATCCTGGGGAACAATTTGAATACCCATTATACCGAGACCTTAAGTTTGAATTTTTTAGTTGCCCCGAGTAGTTTATATTAGCAGTCAGCGCTATCTTAAGCATAAACTACGTAGGGAGTCGATGAAAGTAAGTGGATGATCCCAAAATTTCTAAGTATATATGCCAATACTTAATAAAAATAGGGAATGCTCCTATTAAGTTAAGTGACCCTCACTCGGTCACTTAACCCAACGGTTGTGGAACCTACAAAAGTTTTCATAAAAATCCGTTGTTAGTTGGTTCAGAGGTGTCTGGTGCTAAACTTGGTAGGGCAGACTACGGTTTGATCCCCCACAACTTGAAATTGGTAAAATAAAGGTTTTACCAAACTCGTCTACTAGAACTCCATTGCTAAAGGATCAGAGTCACTAACCAACTACTCTACTATGTGTGTTTAACGATAAAGGGCTTAACATGATTGTGCTCAAATGAAAGTGGGTAAAATAAAACGAAAGAAATAGGTTGAGCTATAAAAGAATGATTAAAACTGGTTTGGATTAAAGAGGGATTTTATTATTGTATTTGCGGTTTTGTGTCACTACGGTATCCTTAGTGTTGAATTCGAGTACTTATCATTCTAACAAAATGTCTCACAACCACGTACAATTTAAGTCATGTCGTGTATTTGTGTCGAACCCGCTTTTTTAATTGAATTTCATAATGATTATTTGCTCGAGGACAAGCAAAGGTTCAAGTGTTGGGGAGTTGGGTAAACTGAAATTTCATCGTATTTTCGACTTGACTAGCAAGGATTAGTTTACCGTTTTTATCCATTTATATCATTTTATGCTGGTAGTGTTTATGTATTTCGGGTGTTTTTCTCCTTAAGGCTTGCATGAGAAAAGAAGAGGAATTGGCATAGAAAGAACAAGAAAACATGAAGAAACTGAAGAAAAGATGGAAATCTGCGCACAGAAGTTTGTGGCCCTCTCCGCACCTTCTATGGACCTCGCCACACATGTTTAGTCTGTGGCCCTCACCACACATCCATTGGCCACAACCACTGGTTATTTTATATCAGGACCATTTTCCTCCTACGTCATAGCCATGATTCCCTCATTCTTCCTATTTCCTCTCTGCAAGACAAGGGTGGCGAGATTATCTCCTTGAAGGAAGTTGATCCTAATATTTATGGAGGGAGTTACGTAAATACATCAAGCTATAAAAAGAGGAAGAATTGATAGTTACCGGGTCGAAGAATATTACATTGTTCAGAGCATTTTCCTTTTGAGTTTCTAAGCATAAAAAATCACCACTTTAATGAAATAACATTCCACATCATGGAGCTATTGCAACATTAGTTTAGATTTACAGTTTTAGTTTCTCTTCAATTGTTTAATTTCGAAAGCGAATCCTATTGACAACTGTAGAGGATCATGAAGAATAATTTTCAATTTACAGTAAATTCTTTGTACTAGAGATTTATTCCTAGGTTTGTAATATAAGCTTTATTTATATTTGCGCTATAGAAATCATGTTTTATTTTATGATTAATTAATGTAATATCATGTCTTTGTTATAAACTATGTCCGACTAATTCCATGAGATACTGGTATGTAACGTAATCTAACCGAAGGGATTCGAAAACCTTTTGGTATTAATATTTATAAAAAAATTTCCTTGTTTTTGTTTCTAATTTAATTATAAAATTGTTTTTGTTACGAGAGTAAAAAACAACAAAGGTTAAAATCAATACAATGAGAGTTTGAGGTTTTGAATTGGATAGTAGTAGCTGAACATTGATTCTAAAACAATGAGAGAGCTTTATGATCCTCTGACACACAAACATCCAATGCTTAAAATCTCATGGATGCTTGACATAACTTACAACCCAAAACATCCCTACTCTTCTATCAAGATGATATTAGAGGGGCTCACAAATAAGGATTCTAAAACTCTAACAAAAGCACACGTAAGTTCTACTTAAAATTAGGTATACACCACTTTATATATAACATTACTCTGGACTGGGTTGGGCTTCAAAATCGCCGCAGTGAGGCTGCACAAAGTCTGCAAAATCTTCTCCAAGAAAATAGGTCTTAACTAATTTTTTACCTAAAATGTCTCCATATTTAGAAATATTTTATATCTTCAAAAACCACCATAGAATCTCTGATTTGTCAATCTTGAACGTCATATAAACTAACTAAATATTCCATGAATATTCAGTAACTAACATATAAGCTGAAACATAACTGTCAACTACTGTCGACACAATGTCTTATCCTCCTGGCTGGGACATCCTATTTGACATGCTCAAAACTTCATGTTGGAACATATTTTTCAACATGTTGCTGCCAAGTTGGTTTTACCAAAATGTATGTCAATCATAACTTCAGAGAAATAACAAATATTACTCTTGAAATTTTTAAGCAAAAGTGGGTATTTTTAAGAGTAGCAATAGGAGGAATATGAGGAATATGTGGAGTTAGTAAAGCATGCATCAGAACAATGTTTCTAGTGGGAAGCTTGAAAAATCTTCAAGTAGATGAGTAAAGATGAGTTGTTATTGAGTTGCAGCATGTCTCGGGAGTTGGTTCTTCTAGATTTTCTCTTTAGCATTCCTCAACCCCTTTTGATGTCAGGTTTTCTGAAGATGTTGCTCAATAACATTTATATGCTTTTGTTCGTGTGTTTCGTTTTTTCCCTGTCGATGGTCTATGTAGATGATTTTCATAGTAACATGTTTCATTTAAACCACCAAAAAGATATATGTTTCTCTATTTTTAATTGTTTATTCATTTCTCATATTATGATTGGAATATTTCACACCGACACTGTATGTTATCTTTATATGTTTGATTTGGTATATTTAAATTGTTTAAGGGTGATTCTCATGATATACTCTTTGATAGTGACATAAAAAGATACAATGTGTGACTAGATGGAGTATTAATATAACTGACTATATAAAATAATCACTTGACACAACTTTAACTCTGAGTAAGTATAAATATAATATGACATCCGGTTACTTTTTCAATAATCTTTTTGTGTAAGCAAAACTATAATTTTCATGTCATTTTCACATAACAAGTTGAGTTTTACTTTTAACTCAATTAATTAGTACACAACCAATACCTTAATTAATGCACAAATAAAAAATAAGATATTAATCAGTAAACAACAACAATAATCAATTTTTCCACAAGAAAATACTTATTTAATACTCAAATAAGAGCTTAATTAGAACACAATAATAACCAAGCATTTTCCACTAAGTTGGAACTTAATTAGAATACAAACATGACCTAACTTAGTACATGGAAATTAAGACAATACAGTACACAAACAGCAATTAATATATATGAATAAGTTTTGTTTAACCATCCATAAAGGTAAATTTGGTTGGAGTCAAGGTTGGATTTTGCATTTTTGGTTCGGGTATCTTTCAACCATCCATCAAGGTAAATTTGGTTGGAGTTATGGTTGGATTTTGCGTTTTCAGTTCGGGTATCTTTCAACCATCCATCAAGATAAACTCGATTGGAGTTAGGGTTTACTTTTACATTTTTGGTTCGGGTATCTTTCAACCATCCATCAAGGTAAACTTGGTTGGAGTCAGGAGTAGATTTTTCTTTCTCGGCTCTGATATCTTTTCGCCAACCATCAAGGTAAACTTGGTTAGATTCAGATGTAGATTTTTCTTTTTCAGCTCGGATATCTTTCAAACATCCATCAAGGTAAACTTGGTTGCAGTCAGGGTTGGATTTTGCTTTCTCGGTATGAGTGTCTTTCAACCATCCATCAAGATAGGCTTGGTTGGAGTTAGAGGTGGATTCCTCTTTCTCATCTCGAGTATCTTTCAACCATCCATCAAGGTAAACCTAGTTAGAGTCACGATTGACTTTGGATTTCTCAGTTCTGATATCTTTCAACCATCCATCAAGGTAAACTTGGTTTTAGTCAGGGTTGGCTTTGACTTTCTCGGCCCTGGTATCTTTCAATCATCCATCTAGGTAAACTTGGTTGCAGTCATGGTTCACTTTGGCTTTCTCGACTCTAGTATCTTTCAACCATCCATCAAGGTAAACTTGGTTGGAATTAGGGTTGACTTTTGTTTTCTCGCCTTTGGTATATTTCAACCATCCATCAAGGTAAACTTGATTGGAGTTAGGGGAGAGTTTTTGGTTCTTTAGTGGAGTGCTTTTGAGCCAACCATCAAGGTAAGTCTGGTCAACCTGGTTCATATATCTTGCAAAGCTTCCATGGCCATTCTACAATACAATTGAATAAATAGATATTAATGAGTGAGAAATTAATTACATGTTTTGGATGGTATATATGGTTAGAAAAACACTAGTGTGTTATGAGACACATTTTGTTGTATAATTGAAGATATATTTGTTATGTATATATAGCAGATAGATACATAATTTGAAACAGAAATATAGCATGTAGAATATTTTTAATTTAATTACAACAAAACAACGTAATTTTTTTAAATTGTATAGAACAACTCGATTCTTAGTATGTTGAATGCATAAAAAACAACTAATTAGAAGAATCTTAGAAGCATGCATTAAATTCTACATGCTTGTACAATTGCAAATAAAAAATGAAAATGATATATTATGAAGATGTTGAATATTTTTAATCTTTTAACATGCATGCACAATTGCAAATAAAGATGAAATAAATTATTATTATGATGAATAAATGATGAAAAATAAAAGTATAAAGGATATAAGCATGCATGGAAAGTTAGTAACTCACAATCATCAATAGCAGGAGAAATGGAAAGAGAGACAAAATAACTCTACGTTCCATTTCTTTTTGTTATGTTATTTTACTGTGAAATATGCATTGGAGTGGAAGTGAGCTGACTTATTTATAGGCAAGTAAAAAAGACTAGTAGTACAAATAACTAGGACATTAGTATTTTGTTTAGAAAAATAATTTTTTAAGTTTATAGTTCATTTCTTATGAATATGACTTATGTTTTGGTCATTATCATGAGTTGTATGAATCTAAAATTTACAACACAAACAACAATGAGTATAAATCCAGACAATAAGATAAAATAGTCTCACAAGAAACTCTTGAAAATAGTGTGTAGAGTTTGCATGCTTTAAGAAGTTAATGTAACAACTTAAGCCGACACAATCAATCACTTGTAGGGCTTTGCATTAAATAATTGTAGTTGTCTTTTTAAGAGTCAAAAGAGAAGAATTTGGAATCCAAAGCAACATTTTTTAATTTAATTTTAAATTGTCAAATTTTATTTTAAAAAAATGTTTATAACACGAAAGTTTGAAGTAGTACTAATAAAAGTGTATAGATGAAACATATATTACTAACAAACTCTATAATGGCAGAGAATTGAAACAAAATGGTGTGCTAATAAAAGTAAATAGATGAAACATATTACTGAAAAATTCCAAGAAACACCCAAATATATGTGACATTTTAAAGTGGTTCGTGATAGACTAATACAATCAGTCATTGTTATAAATGATAAAAAGATTTTTTTGGGTTTATTAACCAGTTGAGTGAAAATATTCTCTATGGTGTACATTTTCTGCAGTGAAATCTAAGCTATTGATTTAATTATATTTTATTTAACTTAAGAGGAAGTCATTCTAATAAATGGTGAAGATGTGAACTGAATTTGGTCTAGTGAAAAGTCCACAGAAGATAATCCTCCCCCACTAATTCATGTATTTGATCATTGTTATATATTAGATATATAATTGTTTCTTTTCTAATCGTTTTATTTTATTCTTGAATTCTCATAAAAAAATACTATCTAAATTTTAGAATTCAAAATTTTCAAAAATACTATCTAAATTTTAGAATTCAAAATTTTCAAAAATACTATCTAAATTTTAGAATTCAAATATTTAATAACGCTTTTGAAATCTTTTTCTTTTTCACTTTTTTTTAAGTTGGTAGTTTTTTGACTCTTCAATCTGAATTAAATTTGAAGTCTATAATTTTAATAAAGAAAACATTTTTCATAATTATTTTATAATGGAGATTAAAATATAATCATTAATTGAAGAAAATAAAGTAAAATTCTCTTCAAATAGTTTTTGGTAATAATAAAAAAAAATGTCTTTTGTTTGTTGTGAGTTATAAAATCAAAATTTAATTTGGATTATAAAATTTAAAATTTGTAAAACAAAAAAAAAAAGTTTAAAGAGGAAAAATATCACCATATATTTTAAACCAGTAAATCAATTACAATAAGTAATTTATTTATAGTTTTTCATATAATTTTTTTCCTACATCATTTTCAACTTTCACAACCTTATTTCAATCCAAAAATAACAAAACCATACCTGGATAGTTTCACGTGTAGCAGAAATTGTTCCATGCAACTCGAGTAAAGGGAAAACAATTATGAAACGAGAATTTCTTTCTCTACCTTGTTGTCTTCTTGCAGGTATCTGGCAAAAAACTCAAAATACCTCAAGAACTCGGATGTGCATATCTGAACACGCCGTATTTATCAAGAAAATGTGTTTTTGCATGTGCATATCCGAAGCCATTTTATTTTGTCAAGAAAAGGTAACTTCGCATGTGCATATCCAAATCGACCCCATAATTTAACACTTCGGATATGCACATCCGAAGTTATTGAATTGTTATATAGACCATGAACAAAACATATAACTCATTTCTTTACAAACCCATAAACCTCATTCCAACTCATCTCCTCATTTCTACTCATCTCAAGTCATTTCAACTCATATCCAAAGCTACAAATTTGTGTATGTTTTCTCTATTTCCATTTGATTTAGTTTGCAATGCTATAATAATTTATTAGGTTAGTTAGAATCAAGGATATTGTGTAGGTTGATGTTAGAGTGGTTAAATGTCGATGTTTGTGTGACTAAAACACTAGAAGAAACACCACCGCTACGAACAAACCTTGAAACATTCGCGTGAATCTTCTTGTCACCAATGATAATGTTATCAATCTTCACTGCCAACATTCTAGCCTCCACAATTTTCGTGAACCTTGCAAAATTAAATATATTCTCCACTTTGTTTCTTTTGGGTGGAATAACCACTTCCACAATATCACCCATCCAACCGAATAACTCATATATGTCATGAGCTTTGATTCTATAAGGGATTTCAGAAAAGAAAATGGTATAAATGTTGCTTTCCGCGGACCAAAATGAAACCTGCCAAATCGAAAAGGTGTCCCAGTGAAGAACCACCCTCCTTATGCCTTTCCTTCTCACCTCCGTCCACACAGGACCGCCGAAAATTATCTGAAAATTATAAAAGCACTGGTACCTTTTAGAGAGTTCTCTCCCTAAGAACTTTTTTTGCAGTAATTTGTTAAGGTGTTAGTTATGGAAATAAATTATTAATATGTTGTAGAATAATAATGGCATGATACACACCACCAAAACACAACACCTAAAACCTAACCATTTGGATGCTGATAAAGAAACCTTGTATGTTCCACATCGTTTTCCTTTCACTTCATTTCCTTATTTATATAATTTACAGAAACGTACACAATTGTATATTTGTGAGTTGGTGTGATATTGTCAAGATATGAGTCCAAGGTCCAAACAATTTCTTTTAAAAATGGTATTAATTAATTTATAAATAAAAACTCCATCTTGGTTGATTGCAAGCAATTTAATTTTGCTGCACTCCAAGAGTAAGAGTAAGAGTAACATTTTATTCTCTCCACATTTAAAGTACTTTTTTATTTTTAACCATTAAATTAAAAAGAATTAATATGGAATAAGTTACTCTTGGGGTAATAATTATATATATATATATATATATATATATATATATATATATATATATATATATATATATATATATATATATATATATATATATATATATATATATATATATATATATATATATATATATATATATATATATATATATATATATATATTTCTTTAATCAAATGGGTTATGTTGACACTAAAATCTTATATACCGTATTATTTTTCAAGCCATTTTAACTGTGGCACAAAAAAACAAATTATTAAAAAAACAAAGTTGTGTATAATTGTATCTATATACGGTGTGATTGTTAATTTTTGGTCTAAGACTTGCATTTTTCTTCTTTAATATGGTATCATAAGTTGAACAATCATAGGTTGGAACTACTATTCAAAAGGAACGCAAATGATATAGCTACTACTCAAGAAGAACACAAATTAGAAACATGCTAAATTGTTTCTAATTATGTAGCCACACAAACTTGTAGGTAATACAATTTCAGTTCTCTTCTACGGATAATATTTTATGTTATTATTTTGGTATATACCATATCAAACATTATAGGAACAAAATTCATTATATATGACACACATCCTCCTCACTATTTATGCATTCAATACCAAATTTAACACTTGATGTAGACAGTGTTGGGCTTGGGCTCCCTTTCTAAATATTTAAAGGGAGAGTATCTATTTAGGTTTGAGAAAAATAGGGAGAAAATAATGATTCAAAAGAGAAAAAAGATGAGAAAAACTCATTCCCGTTTTTCTAAACAAGTATGAATAATTAAGTCAATGATCTCCTATTACTTCACTGTCAGATCAAACTGAAATTTAATGGACATGTTCGCAACACATGTATCTACTTTTTGACCGTTCAGAATTTCAAAACAAATTATGAGTTGAGACATATCCGCTTCGCATTGAAACTGCAAATTTTTGTAATTTTTAGATTTTTGATTCTTATTTGTAAGCTAGTTTTCTTTGTGGTTCGTGGTTTTTATCACTATTTTATTAATCACTTTAAGACTCTCTTGAATCCTCAATTGATTGTAGTGGAGATATTTCTTTGTCTGGATGACTTGTGTTTTTTTAATCTCGTATTGAGGGGTTTACAACGTTAAAAATTACCACCCACTCGCGTTTCACTTTCCAAATTCATTTCACCCTTTCAATTCCTCGAATCGCTCCGTATATCATACTTCTCGGCTTATATTGACCCAAAGCAAAGTAAACCCTACTATATCAATTAAATGTTGTCTTTGGTGCAATTAAATAAAATCAATGTATTGAGTTAGAGAGGGTTACATCATTTAAATTTATCAATTATGAATATATAAAATGAAAGAAAAAGATAAAATGTATGAAATATAATTTGTCACAATCACGCGAATGACTTTTCCAATCAAGTCTCTCTTGATTTTAAGTGTTTGTTATATTATGCTATTTTTTAACTTATATTAGTACCACTTGTATTACTTATACAAGTTGTCTCTTGTCCATATTCGTATTCCTCATCTCACGAGCTTCCTAAAAAATCTGTTAGATGTTTGTTTCAATGGGTTTCAAAAAGTCGCCATGTTCTATTTTCTGGTGAATTTCTTATGAATATTACTCATTTTCATGTGTTACTATTAATTTGGTTTTGTTTTTCTAGTTTTTTTATCTATTTTTAGTGGTGAGTAAATGTTCAAGTTATTGGAACAAGTTATAGTCTGGTGTTCGGATAAGAGGAAGAGTTCAGTGTCTTCACAGAGACAAGCATCTATTTCTAAGAAGCTAGCTTCAACCTAATAAGATATGAAATACATC